ACTATGTTGTCTATTATTTATTTATCGAGGTAGAGATCTTAATATTAGATCAATGTATTATATTATCTTGTTACATGTTCTTTGCAACAGAAACAACAATTCAATGAGAATGGGAAGTCGAAAATCTGTTCATACGATATACCAGCTTGTTTATTGTTATACACTATGTCTCAAACAAACTTACAGGAAAAACTATACAGGAGCTCACACAAAAGACAAAAATAATGGTCAAATGATATCGTTATATTGTCTCGATCTATCGTTTCGAGTAGGTTATTTATATAACATGAAGAGCGAGAGCACCTTACGTATGTCGTTTATCTCTCTATGGCCATATTAGAAGAGAGATTTTATTCGAATAAAACATATAACATTGTTTTCCGAATATTTAAAATCATTTAGAGCATTATCGTGAATTTTGAATAGAATTCCTAAAAGTCAATTGGGAAAATATGTGTGATATCGAAATGACCGTCTTTACACAGTTCCTATTGATACGTAAGGTTCACCATTAGGTATTCATCATAAACAGCAGCAATCATTACAGCGATTTCGAAACATCCAATATGTTTAAACCTATATTATTGTTTTCCTGTACAGCTTACTATTAAAAATAGGAAAGAATGTTAATTTAATTTGTTATTACCCTAATCGATGTGGAACTAATATTGTTGACGTCACGTATGCTTTATTACTATGGCATGATTTGAGATGGAATTCGGTATATATATTTAGATTTGGTCGTCATATATGAATTGCACATTCCGTCTCATATCATTCCAAACAAGCGAACCCCATGATATATTTTACTCATTCATTCATTTCATTCTACATTCATAATTAAATATGATTTAGTAGTACCACATTTACGTTTTCTTTAACACACAGTATTATGTAGGAAATAATCATGGTAAACGCGTAAATGCATAGCATATTTACGCGCCATATATTATACAATATTATATATATAATATATATACTATAATATATACTATATATATATATATATATATATAAACGTTTTAATAATAAACCAGCATCGTAACCTAACGCTTTAATAGTTATTTTCACTAAAAACTTTTAGCATGATGCTGCCCGAGGCGTCTATTTGAGGTTATCGGTCAGGTTAGCGTGATCAATGCTTTGCCAGGTAAGTAGTGCAGCCTCACAGCAGTCAGGCGGTGTTGCGCAGCTCGTTTTATAGTATTTTATGGCGACGCATTAGTATACGGTATATCGAACAACAAACGCGCAACACACGGTTGGATTTTGCTCGCATTACTCATACATAGTGAAGCGGAATAAACATTGCGCATTTGGCTCTCAGTTCATGCCGCAACTGCCTAAAAGTAGTATGCGTGACGATGCGGGTGAGCTTTTGATGCAGCGTAGTTCGGACGTAGCTAAAGCACACGCACACACGCCGAGCAAAACATGTTTCCGCTCGATGTGGTGGCTGGCTGTGCGTGCTTGCCTCGCTCAGAACGAAGCGCGAAACGCTGGAAAAACAAAATTTCGTGTTGCGCTCGGGATGTGTGGGCGTTGCTGCTTTTAGTACCAAGGTTGGTACGTGCTACCACTCGGATCGCAAGTAAAACAGTGTCCTACTTATTAAGAACCAGCTAGTAGCAGTTTATGTTTGCTTGAGGTTATGGAGCAGTTCAATAGCCAATCACATCAAATCTTGGGAGAATTCGGAGCAAAGCCTGCGCTGGCCGCCTTACCCGTCGTTTATTTACACCAAGCATACAAACGATGTGTTATAAAATAAAATGTCGCATCAGCGTAACTACATGATACGCTCGGTAATACATTACATAGACAGAGTCACAGCAATATAACACCGTTTTCGTGCTATGTTTCGAAATACATTTAATGATATGGTTCGAGGTTAAACTACCTGGCTCAGTGGATAGCAGAGATTCAAATTCGCTTGGTGCGCTACTGACCTATCTAACATTTAAGCGTAAACCAGCTAAGTCTTAACACAATGTTAAGTGTCGATTGTTATCGATTCTGTGGAAACCAGTTATCAGCTGCTCAAATCGTTATATTTCTGTAATATATTTCTTCGACGAAGATGCGTTGATTTCTGCTTTTTGCGTGTACTGACGTTAGAATAATATAGTAGAGATTAAAATCCTTAACAGAGACGTACCGAGACTCCAGTATCGAAAATTCCGAATGATTTGCAATGGAGTATAATTTAACGTCTGTTTGACACAGCTGTACTGTAGTTTTAGCTACACCTGCTATTCTATAAGCCTCGTTCACACGAGACCTCGTATTTCTGAATACCGGATTTGCGAAATACCGTATCTGAGACAAATACGCGCGGCCGAGCGTTCACACGCTGATTCGCGGCTCCAGAAATGCGGTATTTTGCGAAGCTGCGAGCTGCTTTAAACAATCAAGCGAACAATGCGAAATATAACAATGGCAATGCGCACCAACTGCCGATAAAATACGTAGACTGGTCCGCCGCTCGACAGTTCCACTCGCGTTACACTGGAACTGCTTCGAGCGCGGACCAGTCTATAAAATACCGGCCTCCAGAAATCCGGTATTGTTTAGCGTTCAACACGAGGAAATGCGCCGGTCCAAGAAATCCGGTATTTCTCAAGCACGGCAAATTATTCGGGTCTGGGAAGCCTCGTATTTACATGAAATACCGGATCTGTTTAGATACCGCATTTCTTGGGCCTCGTATTTTTGCCGTCGTGTGAACGCTAAATACCGGATTTCTTGCTTACCACACCCGTGTGCACCGCGGCCTATAGCCTCGCACATCACCGAGACCTCCTCGTATTCTCTCCATAAATACTGGTATTTCCGAAATACGCGTATCTAGAAGACAAATACAGGCGCGCCTGGGCCGAGCGTCTCACACGCTGCCATAGTCCGCGGCTCCAGAAATACGCGTATTTGCGAGCTGCCGGGAGCTTGCTTTAAACAATCAGGCGAACAGATGCCGAAATAAACCAATGCAATGCGCCCAGCCAACTGCCCATAAAATACGTAGGACTGAGTCCGCCGCTCCGACAGTTCCACTCGCGTTGCACTAGAACTGTCGAGCCGCGGACCATCCTATAAATCGCGGCCTTCAGAATGCCGGTATTTAGCGGTCACGACGAGGAATGCGCGGCTCCCAAGAAACTCCGGATATTCTCAAAGCACGGCAAAGTTATGTTCGGGGTCGGGAAAGCTCCGTATTACATGAAATACCCGATACTTGTTTAGCATACCGTATTTCTTGGGCCTCGGTATTGTTGCCTTCGTGTGAACGCCTATAATGACGCATTCTTGGCTACGACGGTGCGGCCTACTATCAGCTGAAGGCTTTCCCATTTCAAACAAACTGCATAACGAAATCTCATGTAGCTCGACTGCATATACGCATTAGCTTCTTCTAGCTTTAACATTTGAAGATAAGAATGTTAATACAAATGCTGGCATCTCTTCTTCATAAACATTTTGGATAATAGTATCATAATACACTGCACCAGGAATTTGTTAATATGAAGCTAAAAACTTGACTGCGAAGACAAAATGGCCATTTTCAAGCAATGATTACGGCTATATTTTAGCAACCGAAAAAAATAATATACTAACTGTTGATTATATCTCACACTATCTTGTTTGTCATCAAAGGCGTTTTGAGGTTTATCGTACAATTAAAAATGTTTGCACGAGTTGTGCAGTGTGTAATCAGAAGTGATTAGAGATGTTGAGAAAGTCCGCAGAAAGAGAGAAGGGGGGAGGGAGGGGGGAGAGAGAGAGAGAGAAGAAGAAGAAGGAGTAATGAATGTTATTTTACATCTGCACGCAGCTGCAGACGTGAGGTATCTACATGCACGTAGGTAACTACGAAGAAATAGTTTGTGTGCTTCAAGGCCATGCAAAGTATTACCTAGAGTCCGACATATCGGACTGGAGATAGTAGTGCATAAAAAACGAGTATTCAGGGGATAAGTAATATAAGTTGAACGGAGAAAAGTGAGAGCCCAGACAGAGAAACATGTTAGAGAAACATGCTACACGAGGAGAGGAGAGAGAGAGACACGAGCAGAGCGAGAGAGAGAGAAAGAGCGAGAGAGAGAGAGAGAGAGAGTCGCCGAATAAGAGAGACATATATATATATATTATATATTATATATATATATAGAGAGAGAGAGACGAGAGAGACGGAGAGAGACGAGAGACGAGAGAGAGCACGCAGAGAGAGAGCGGTATATATGGAATGCGAGAGCGGATAGGCAATAGGGTGGCCAAGGAGAGAGGCCATTTACGATGAAAATGGTGATTCAGTGTACATAGGCTATTAGTTGGGCTTTTCTGTACTACCTGTCATCGCCGTCCAGTTTCAACGTGGCCTGCTTCCTTTCCATTTCAAACATCGCAGTTACGTTATCATATAAAATAATACATTTACGGTATACTGTACATTGTAAAATATATTTACATATGTATGTACTCGCAATGAAAACCGCAATGTTCTCAGTATACAAGCAATTCAAAAAAGCTCTTTTACAATTTCATCTCAAATGGGAAAGGGGTAACAATAGCCATAGACATAATAATATCTTAAATTATAAACGCTCCCGTCTTCCCAATGACTATATCTGAGAGCAATATCATATTTTAACCACTTAGATTAAGACATTCAGCTTAAATAATCGCAGCCGATAACAGCACTTCTGTCACATGAACTTTTCTGACATGTATCAAGAAATAACCAAGTTCGGGTATTAAATGCCGCATGCTCAGGTTGTATTTAATACGCACTTCCTGGTATTACGAGATCAAACAAAACTTCTCATCGCCCTATCACTCATCACAATGCAGCATGTGCCGTAGCTACGCGCACGCACACAATATTGTACATGGAACACGCACGTATCACTTTTCTTTTGATGAAAAAAACGATTCACTTAAGGTAAATGCATCTCAACAACGGAAACCCGCCACATATATACGCCATGTCACGATCGCGCTGTTCCTTATCTACCCTGATTATAGGCGTTCAACACTTCCTCGTCCAGTTCGCCTTCGGTCATGTCCGATGCGTTAAGGCCAATATTTTCGTTGTTGTCCATGATAATAGTTGTGTTCTCACCATTTACGAGCGTGTTGTTGGGGGCGCTGCCGCCAGACAACGCACCGGAGAGCTTCTGTATCTCCTTCTCCTGCTGTTTGCTCTTACCATCAGCTGCTTTGAGCGCCTGCTCCTGTAAACGCAGAGAAACAATGTCGTAGTTCTAAGCGCGCGCATTAAAGTAGCTGGAAGCGAACACAGGCACTTGGGCCGTTTCAATAATAAAATGATGGTTAATAAAATAATACAACTTGTCCGTACTAGACCTATTGTACACAACTACACAGTAATATAGCTCTATATTACTGTGTATTTGTGCACAGTGGCGCACGCTATGTGTTGCAGCGGTGTATTGGACGGTATTGAAGGGAAGTTATTAGGTCAAATCAAACATTAAGACTATTACTGGTACTACTACTGGTAGGTCTAGTACTGACAAGTTGTATTATTTTATTAACCATCATTTTATTATTGAAACGGCCCAAGTGCCTGTGGAAGCGAACAGCAGAGGAATGTTAGCGCTTCGTTGCATTCGTTAAAAGATTTTGCCAATCTACGCATCAACGGCTACTCTTTCGACATAAACAAACCACCGACATTCACTCGGATATCTTGTCACGTCGGCAACATGATGACGGCCCAAGATAAAAACGCATATTTTCGTGTCTCTGTTATCGAATCAAATGCTTACGGCTTCGGATTCCTCTTGTAAACTCGTTTCTTCGTTCATTCCACTGGCATCCCAAACACGCAGCGTTCCGTCATACGAACCACTGAACAGTCTCTTCTCGACCACCTGTCAGGGACAAAACATGCGACTATACATCCCGCCGATATCTCTCGTAACATCTTTTCTTTCAGCGCGAAAACATTCGTGACAAGTTAATCACATATTCCCCCAATTTAAGAAGTCGTGTCATTCTAAACACGTTTGCCGTGATATCCGTTACGTTTTTTGAGATAACAATTTTTAATCTCGTTCGACCACCAGCTGCAAACGTAGATTACATTAAAAAAATATGGATTGTAATATATGGATTGTAATATGGATATGTATTGATGGATGGATATGGATTGTAAAATGGATTGTAATATATGTAAAAATATGGAGTTTTTGTAAATCCATATTTTTTGCATGTAATCTACGTTTGCAGCTGGTGGGTGTGCGCCCGGTTAGTAAACGAACAATAACACGACAAAAACAATTACTTGCGACCGCAACCACTTAAGGAATGATACAAGCTATGGCTACTATGTTATCAAGGATTACTGACATCACACAATGATACGCTATGCTAGCGGTAATGACAGCACACAATGAGCGGTATTGCAGCTTACATGCTGTGTAATATTAGACGCTTATTACTGACACGGAGATGGAAATCACGGGATTTCACATATTCCTGCGTAATGTAAGTTACGTAAATTTGCACACAGCATTCCACGACGATATTTACGTTTACACGTGAAATGTTTTTGACGCTCTCAAAACGAGTATCAATACCTGCTATAACAATCAGTCATTTTGAAGATATGACTTCTTTCGGAACTATTTTACTTTCCTATTATTATTTTCACGGTTTCACGTTAGCATGCAACATGCAATGTTAGTTTTATAAAAAGCGCATGCAATCGTTTAAAGCATTCACTCGACATGCATCATTGCAAGCAATTAGCGCCGCTTACTTCAAATTATTGGTTTTCTGCTTTCTCTCTAAAATGTTTCTAGTGGTTCTTCGTACGTAAAGCGTTGAATCTACTTAATCGTCATCTCGCAATTAATACGTCCTCTTAATCCGCTTTTATAAATTTAGTTAATACTTTTTTAATTTTTACATTTATTGATACTTTTTTTTTTGCGAGCACGCATAGACGGATGCATGTTTCAAGCGCTGGTGGCAACGGTCTGCGTAACAATGAATAATATATTGGCAATCGATTGCAGCGCGTTGTAAATACATATAGCAGTTTCTTTCGCATGCATTCCAAAGCCAAACGCTGTCATAGAAAACGTGCATGCGGTAGCGGTGTGCATGGAGCCGGTATTCATGCGTTGCCAAGCGTCTTCATCTACCTGTAGACACGAAAGGGCGCTCTCATGACCAGTATATGTCCTCTTTATTGTACCCGACTTTGCGTCGAACGCACGAGCATTTCCATCGCCACACCCAGTAAAAACTGCGCGCAAGGAAATAAAAAAAAAATCGTAATAAACACGGTTAATTAGTGTAAGTTAAGGCACATGGGAGAAAAAGGCTGATTGACTTCGGATATTGTGGCTTGCAACAGCACAGTTAATCATTTGTGAAACCATAGATGTAGGCGTAGGCCTACATACCTACATCTGTGGCCATTCGACGGCAATACATTCGTGTTTTTTGGTTATTGGCTCAATTTCAGACTGCTGTCTTGGTCAGCTTTATTACGAGCAAATATGCGTTTATGCAAAATTCCGTTTATGCACATGTTAAGGCGCATGCATCGCTACTATGTTGGAATTGCTGGTGAGCAAGCCAAAATCTCCGAAGTCTAGTTGAGTTCGCACCTGCAGACAAGACACACACTCGTCGTGTCCAGTTAATTGTAGTTTCAGAATGCCCGACTTCATGTCGAAAACACGGACAATTGCGTCCCCGCAACCTGTAATGACTGCAAACACGAAGCCATCCACAGATTCATATATATATATATATATATATATATATAGATCTATGGATATATATAGTAATAAATTCATAGAGTTTATCGCGCCCCTTTACTAACAAATCTAAAATTGAAAGCAAATAAAATGTTTCACGGTGTGACTTTCCGATAAACGTATCTGCCCGTCCTCCCCTCCTCTCCATGTCAGCTCCCAAACGTGGGTGCATTAAATCGTATTAGTATATATTGCAGTAGATTAAAATATTTAAAAAATGTTTGAAATTGGGCCTCCAGTGTGATTACATTGATTGCCGTTAAGTTCTTATTGAAAACCAAGTACCTACCAGCAAACGATACCAGGTGAATCGACAATTTAGTGTGACTCAGTGGAAGAAATATATAAATATAAATATAAATAAATAAATAAATAAATAAATAAAATAAATAAATAAATAAATAAATACACACCAAAAAATATATATATATATTCGCACGTACATTCGTACGTGTTCACGCATACATACATACATACATACATACATACATACATACATTCAGGAGCGTATAATGACAAATACGCTTTGTCATTATACGCTCCTGATACATTGCATACATACGTTGCATGCATGCATACATACATACATACATACATACATACATACATACATACATACATACATACATACATACATACATACATACATACATACATACATACATACATACATACATACATACATACATACACACATACATACATACATACATACATACATACATACATACATACATACATACATACATACACACATACATATACTAAGACTACCCAAGTGAAAGATAGCGTAGTATTTGATCATCGCAAGGTGCGAATTTTGATATTTAGTGGCACATACGTTATTACGTGCCTATATATGCGTGTATACTGTCCGTTGACTGGAGAAGAGAAGCATAGTTGTGGTATACCCCTGTTGCTCTGTCTCTTAGACAATTTTTTTTACATGGAATATAACAGAAATCATATTCCACGCGTTATATCTAACGATTCAACATTCGTCTCTCGTACGAGAAATTGACTCACTAAACGTAAATAATATGTGCATACTGCTTGTGCTATTAACAATAGAATATCACAGTAAACAAACAAAAATAACAGTATTACATACTGTAATTGCGCTTATCAATAGTCTGTTGCCGCGTATAAGACAGAACAATAAATCCTACCTAATCCATGGTAGCATTTCAATGAGGTTACGCTATGATTATGTCCTTTGTAGACTCGCGTACAATCCCCAAATTCTGTCACCCACGCTCTGCCGGTGTGATCAGAGCTGCCAGTATACATCAACTTTCCCAAAATCTGGAACACAATAACACAACTAATCCTTGCTGAAAGCTGGTGACTACATTTTTCACATCAGTAATAAATTAGAAGTAAATAATTAATACTGAATTGTATAAATATGCGCCTTGGACAAAGCTCATCGAAACATAACATAACGAAGGCGTAGATTTCAAAACGAAGCCATTATTGGATCCGCGTGCTGCGTCTATTAAGATAACGCTATAGTAAAAACACTATAGACTCTAACGTACATACTAATGATCTGCTTTTCAATGGATTATTTAGTTTGTATTTATCAATATAATATTATCTTATAATATTTTTTAATAATATAATATTGATTTATAACAATCAATTAATTATGTCTTTATAGTCTTATTACAGGCAATCTATGGGAATATCGTTAGCGAGTTTAATTAGCTCTTAATTGTGCGTAATCTTAATACGTTTACGGGTAAGGTCTAAAACGATACGTGCTAAAATATATTGAAAATATAATTTAAATTAAACTGAATAAAAATTTCCTGACAATAATGGCAGCAACAGTTGGAACTCCATGTGTACACATAAGAAAGGTTTTCACGCCGTATATTAGCAACATGGCGTATCTAACATCATTAAACTCGTATACGAAACACGAATGATTAAAGTAAAATGAATTATTCTAAAAGAGGAAAATGATAATAGGTTAATTAATTAAATTATGTCGATATGAAATTAGTTGTACGAAAGCATCAAAGGCAACTAGGGACGTGTCCTTGAAATATGGGGTTATTTACTTTGATTCTTTTCACGATTACTTTCGTAATCAGCTGGCATTGTGCACGATATAACGCACACTGTTTTGGCATTCGCTTTCCAAATTCATGAATATTGCAGCACCAATTTTTTGTATGCATATATTGTAAAATTACATGGATTTATGCCTGAATGATTGCTTATTTTATGCAGCGAAATTAATGTGCTATTAGGTATTACTTTCGCGTAAAACTTGCGTGGCGACGAATCAATTTGTTGTACAAATGACACAAGGCCTTCCACCTTCTTTTCTTAACTAATGTGTTATCACCATTTTAGTCTAATCGAGTTATCATACAAACTGCGTGATATCACATGATAATACTTATGAACTCGAGCGTTAAATCGCAATATTCAGATCTGGACGTAAGACTAAATAATACATATCGGTACACATTGTCAAGGAAATAATGTGTAGTTGTCATCACACTTCGCATAAGAGCCGAACTACGTGAAAGTATCTTGCACCCAATCTGCCGCTTTTTGTCACTAACATGTTGTAGGTTGGTCTGACCTTCAGTCGTTTGTCGGCCGAATAAGCAGATGGGTTGGCAGTCGCATACCCGATTGTCACACAGTCACTTAGTCAACCACCTAACCCAAAACCACATATCTTGGCAACGGCAGTTTTAATAAGTCGCATAATTCTCAAAAACGTAAGAAAGAAGCATCATTGTTCCTCCATGACAAAGCTTCGACAATGAGTATTGCGGCAATTACCAACATTACGCATTTATCTTCATCCGTAAATATATCCCGGTTTAAATATCCCTGTGTTTCGAACGCATATGCTATGTGCGTTGGCTTTGCGTTTTTGATATAATTCTTACATTGTCTGTTCCAGTCTAAAACGTGTGAAATTGGGTTCGCAGAAGGAAAATGATTCACAGAAGATGCGTAGCTATAATATTTATAATCCCGATAATAAGTGGCTACCCAAGGGTTGCCATTAGTAGGACAACCGAGGCTCTGAGAAACAAGCACCTCTAAAAAAGCTAGATCGACATACAAGCCGAAGAAACGTATCAAATACCGATTTATCCGAATGATAATTTCCGCGCTATCAAGTTACACCCGCCGATAATGGAGTCCTCTCAGTTAGATACCCCATAGTTTCCCGTCTCCGCTCTCGTCTCATAATCGCACTTTTACGTTTTTTTTCTCTCTTAACTCTTTCAACGCTGGTAAAACGCGTGCATCAAACACGTCGTGTCGCCCTGTTGATGAATCAACTCTCCGAACATGAAGAAAACCATGATGATATTAGGTTCTCACCTGCATGCATACGATTCCGGACTGGTGACCTTTAAAGACCTGCAGCTCATCGCCCTTTATAAGATTCCAACTCCGAACAGTAGTATCTGAACTTCCCGTGAACAGAGTTCGGCCTGTCGTGTCGGTACCCATGCACATTATCGGTCCATCGTGCCCTGTACCACAACCGACACATTAAAATAAACATGAGGCAGAATGAGCTCTTATTATGGCAGACATAGAATCACGTTTGGAATTCCAATAATATTGGTCGTCAGTCATTTTGGCATAGTATGTATTTTGCGATATTGGTCTTCGCAGTATAACTCGCTAATAAGAGAGCTTGAACATTTGATCCAGCATTGACAGCATAACTAGATGTTTAACGGTTTTCTTTTTTATAAAGTACTAATATGGTATCTATAATTATCTCCAACTGGATTATAGTTGATAAAATGCGCGGATTGTGGGTCAATTGCACTTCAATTGTGTCATAGCCTTTCAGCCTATATACCAGCACGAGCGTATAGCCAATTATTTACGGGCACAGCGGCTTATAACATTAAAATAGTTAAATGGTTAAAATAGCTCTGCGAACCAGATTAAGGAAAGCTGGTTGGTTCACAAGTTCTCAACTACCGTGGAGATAACTGTGACAACAAGATTAAATCACGAGTCTCTCTGAGTGAATCACTCATCGCTCTGCTTCACGCGGCGTACATTTGTGATCGCGTGCCTTAACCCTGTATGCAGGGTTACGATATTGTACGTACGCATGCTATATGGAGCAACGTATTATAGACAGCACTAGAAATCATCGCTGAAATTTAACACGTGCGCAAGAAGCGATAATTCAAATCAGTAGGATAAAATCAGCAAATCAATAAATGCCTTTGAAAGTTCTGATGCAACGCGCAGTTTCGAACGCCCACAATTTCGCCGACTTATCAGCTGATCCGGTTACAACGAAATCCTGATTATTCTCGTAATCATCGGCATCATTGTCCTCATCGGCTGGAATAAATATGAGCGGATAGACGCCGAGGGCGTGCCCTCGGAACACGCGTAGACAGATGCCGGTGTCGAAATCCCAGCAGCGGGCGCTGCGATCATACGAGGAACTGAACACGAAATCGCCTGCAAAAGAAGAAAAGTTGCGTAAAATCTACACATCGCATATCGAAATTAATAAATTAATAGTTGTAACAGCTGGAGAATGCATCAACTGGATACTGTATCAACGATTTGTCTTATCTTGAGAGAAAATTTCATAGCGCTTTATTATGAGCCCGATATCTAATGAAGATACAAAGTATAATGAAAAAAGTACTAAAAGGACTACAATACGTCTGTGAATACGTAGATGCTGTTGAGATACAGGTAGGTTAAATACCTCTGAGACGAAAAGCGGTAATGATAGCATAGGTTAAAATTAAGCTACATCCGCTTGGAAATTGTAAAACCTGTAAGAAATCTTAAAGAAAGAGTTTAGACTGAGACATATTAGAAACATTAACTAGAGAGCATACAATATCGGTTGTGATTACATGAGGTATTGCTGGGGGAATTAAAAATTAAGGAATTAAGAACACGGAGACACGCTCACCTGTGCAAAGCACTCGGTTGACTAGTGAGGTGTGACCGCTAAATATCAAACAGCATTCGCAGGTACTTATGTCCCATTTACGGATTGTCTTGTCCGCACTTCCAGTAAGCACAAAGTTATCCTCTACAGTAATACATATAATGTAGGAATCATGGCCCTGCAGGACACCAAGGCAGTCGACAGTCGGCGTGCGCGTTGACCACAGACGTGCAGTGCAGTCTTCGCTACCTGAAACCATAGCCGAATTTAGTGCACATCTTCCTGTTTTCTAACTCTCTGCCTGCCTATCTGTTTGTCTGTTTGTCTGTTTGTCTGTCTGTCTACCTACTTGCCTGTCTGTCTGTTTGTCTGTTTGTCTGTCTGCCCATCTGTTTGTCTGTTTGTCTGTCTGTCTGTCTGTCTGTCTGTCTGTCTGTCTGTCTGTCTGTCTGTCTGTCTGTCTGTCTGTCTGTCTGTCTGTCTGTCTGTCTGTCTGTCTGTTGTTGTCAGTCTGTCTGTCTGTCTGTCTGTCTGTCTGTCTGTCTGTCTGTCTGTCTGTATCTGGCCGTCTGTAGCTAGTCTGGTTGGTTCTGTT